CATTTAAATGTGCTTGAGCATGGATAAGTAGATTAATTTGATTTAGTTTAATTTAGGATCTTAATAATATTCGTTGTTATTTATTTAAAGTTGCAAAACTTATTAAGATGTGTATCTTATTTTAAATAAACAATTTAAATGAACAAAATTAGCAATCAATTTCTAATTAAAATTTGAGAGAGGCAGTAGAGAAATATTTTGCTCCGGATACAGAAAAACCTAGCTACGCTACTGCTTTACATAACAAAAATATCAAAAGGTTGCTGACCAATAACGCAACACGTAAATATCAAATATTTAATGACGGTTTCCTTCGAAACTTATGTATGAGTTAATATCTAACTTATATATAACTTGAATATGACAATTCATTCGGTATGCGAAAAATGAAAATAGGCGGAATTCCGAAAACAAATCAAAAAATCATTTTTTTTCGTATCATCAGTATCAACGAAACAGTTTATTTTTGGGGCCTCCCATTTTGATGCTACATAGTTTTCTTTCAATTTCTGCGCGCGTTGGAAATTAGTAAAATAGTTTAGCGGTCTACAGCAAGAAAAAAGATGCAGAACAAAATCACACAAAAAATGGTTTTCCAAAAATGTAGAATGCGTGTTGCACAAGAAAAAAAATAAAATACTCGCATAACACTGCAATAAACTAAACATTTTAACAAAAACCGTCTTCCCAAATACTGTATAATATAGTAATAATACGAGGGGCGTTCAAAAAGTTCCCGGAATGGTGGTTCAGATTGTTAATGGTATAATCTATGGCAATAGTAACCTAATCACCTTCTAAGTAAGACCTTTGCGCATCCATACAGTAACTCCATCGTTCCTGACATCGTTGGAATCAGCGGTGGCAGGCTTCTTTCGGCGCCTGTCAGAGCTGAGCCGTCGCTTTCTATTTAATGTTCTCCACGGTTGCAAATCGTCTCCCTCCGAGACTCATTTTTGGAGTAGGGAACAGCCAATAGTCTCTGGGAACGAGATCCGCAGAGAACAGTGATTGAGGGAAGACAGGAATGTTCTCGGGGAGGAATTTCTGCCCAACACGCGACGTGTGGCTTGGCGCGTTACGTGATGCAGACACCATTCTCCAATTGGCCCTGTGCGTCCTTCGACCCGCATCACTAAAATTGAAAAACTTCCACGTAGGAAATTTCAGAAACAGACAATCCAGGCCACGGTGTAGCAGGGCCGATAGTGTCAATAAAGGCGATATTCGCAGATTGCACATGAACGTCAGGTTCGCACGCTGTTCGAACTGCAACATTACGCCGACAGACCAACACTCACGACTACGGGACACGGAGCAGTGGCACCACTACGCACTAAAACACGTTCACACCAATTTTGCCCGCGTGCAAACACGCCCAGACCTTTACCACAAAAACCTGAACCCTGTCTTATAGCTAGTTTGGCGACGGCAAGCCCATTACGGGAACGTTTTGAACGCCCTTCGTATAATTCAAATACAAAAAATTGGTGTACCATTACGCAACATGTGAATAGCAAATATTCGTGTTTAATGGCAGCGGTCTCTTCCTTGGAGCCTTGATGCATCATGAACTCAGCTGCGTTGCAAGCAGTGACACATTGAGAGTGAGAATTGAGTCGGTACGGGCAGTACGAGAAAGGAGGAATAATAGTCGCATTTTCCACCAACATTTAAACTGTTTCATTGTTTTTTAACTTCTCCAGAATTCCAGAGTATCTGACGAAAACAGAGTCACCTCTCACGTGGCCAGAGGCTGCATAGTTTTATTTCGATTTCTGCGCGCATTAGTATATAATCATTTATATCAGGGTCGTTTTTTCAACCTCCTATGAAATATAACAAAAATACATCATAAAATCAAGAAAATATAGGAAACCGAAATAATGGAGCGAAGGATAATTAAAATATGGAGCTAAGAAATAGAACAAGCCATAACACAAAATAAAGTTGCATATATATTGTATTATACATATGAGGCATCTGCAAATGAAGACCGATGAAACATCGAGAGTACTCAAAGCCAAAAGATATATCGCCAAACAAATAGTTAGAAAAGTTCACCAATCAGCATGGGAAAGATTTATAAGCGAATTAGAAAATGACATTCCTGGCAGACAACAACTAGCATATAAAGTATTTAGGTATATCAATAGTTAATTAAAAGACACAGCTAATTTGAAAGTTGTAAAAGAAAGTCAATGGGTTGAACATTATCAAACTTTATGGTATAACTCTGAAGATGAAAATATCCAATGTGAAATGCCTGTACAAGCTTCGTTAAATTACGTTGATTTAGAAGAATTAGAAACAGCAATAACGGGACTAAAAAATCAAAAGGTTCCGGGACTTGACGAAATAAATGCCGAACAAATTAATATGGAGGTTTGCTGTTAAGAGTAAGTGGTGTGGTTAAAACTTAACTCCTCCACCTATTAAATGTATACTGGAAGCAATGCAGTGTCCTTGAAGAATGACAAAAAGTATATGTAATTTAATTATTTAAAAAGGGAAAAGAAGCGTGTGTGGCAACTATAGAGGTATTAGTTTATTACCCACATGCTATAAAATATATGCAAGAATATATTTTGAAAAGGACGCATCTGTACAGATAATATTTAACCAGCCGACAACTAATAGAAAAGCGAAGGGAATTTAACTTAGAGAACCATTTGGCTTTCATTGATTATGAAAAGGTTTTCGCTAAATTGAAAAGCTCTTCTTTAAGGGAAATTATGGAAAGAAGAAGCTACCCACATCACTTAATCAATAACATTAAATCTGTGTATAAGAATACCTCTGTTATTTTAGAACTAGAAGAAAAATATTCAAAAGAAATAAAAACAAACCAAGGAGTTCGCCAAGGATGCAGCCTTTCACCAACATTGTTTAACATATACTACTTGGATGATGTCATTCGAGAATGGAAGAACAAAATCAGCCCAGGAATTAAGCTTAAAATGGAGTGTACTTAAATACACTCCTATTTGCTGATGATCAAATTATAATCCAAGAAAGTCAGGATTACTTACAGAGGTCTATTCATCAATTAAACCAAACTTGAAAAGAATATAATGTAAAGATTTCAAAAACGAAGACGAAAACAATGTCATTTGTTTTAAAACAAATAAGCACCAAAAACATATAAGCACCAAAATAATTTTGGAAAATACGATGCAGAAACAAATTAGCCATTTTAAATGGAAATGGATATAGATAAAAAAAACATAAATACCAAAATATATGCGGATACATTCGGCGACCTCTTCAAGACAAAACACTTAAAGATACTCCATGAGGATACATAAAGTAATGGTTGTTTCATCTCTGTTGTTCGGAAGTGAATGCTGGACTCTGAGGAAGGAAGATAAACAGGCGTTTCGGTCTGCTGAAACGAAATTCTTGAGATCTGTAAAAAAATATACCACACTAGATGAACTCAGAAATTTGTAAATTCGAAAAGAATTAGACGGTCAAGCAATCAATGACAAGATACAATGTTACAGACAGGAATGGTTACAACATGGGGAAAGAATAGAAGAGAATCGCATTCCAAAGCAGGTGTTTAAGAATAGGCCTCAAGGCAGAAGAGACCATAGTAGACCTCTATAAAGATGGAATTCTTAGAATCCGGAAGAGAGGTCATAGACCTTTCTTTGAAATGGAGAAGAAGAACTTTAAAAACAGCCGAAACCGAAAAGCCGGAAGGAAGAATCCTATTTAGAATGGAGGAAAATGGGGCTAATGTCTCTGTTATAATTAGTAGCTATTTTTCAGGCTCAATAGAATTCTTACAGGTAGGCTTGGATGCGCTCTTTACGCATTGACGCGCTTTCTATCGGGTTTGTTTTTTTCGATGGTATGAGATTGTTGTGATCAAGCAGGGAAGGAAAATTTGCCTCAAAATCTAAAACGCTAAATTAGTTTGCTTTTGTGACTGGGGGTGTTGTTTGTGCCTTGTAAGCATTTAAGAGTGCCAGGATTGAATATTTTAGTGTTGTATACGGTAGTCCAACTGTTTACTGTTACCTTACCTTCAGTTAGGAAAGTCAAGTTCTCTCCATACCTTTCGTATTATCTATCTATGGAAGTGCGCAGAAGGTTCGATAGAAATAGACATTTACCTGGCAATCAAGGATTGACATCGTAGCACTCAAGAGGATAATATTTCATTCACTGAGCACAGTACGTCTCAAGTTATTATTAAAATTATTGTCCATTATATATTGTCCATTATTATCCAAATTATTGTCCAAACATTAATTCATGCTCTACCAATTTCCCGAGATTACGCAAGTTTTGCATATCAAACTCTGAATTTTCCTCAAAACACGGAGGAAAAATTGTTGCAGTATTTCTTTAAAATGAAATTTTAACGTTTCTTCGTACAAAAGGAATTCAATCTGTATCTGACAGTGGTTCTTCTCAGTGTCAATTACAAATTCCGGGTTCTTATTGCGTAATAAATTGAACACGTTTAAAACAACAGCGCTTTCGCATATTTTAACAGCTTTCTCAGTGAATATTTTATTACTGCAGATGGTGACGGTTCTTTAACCCTGGTTGGTACTTACTTGCTAGAATGTACTGCACAGATTTCACATAATCGAACACACAATTTTAAGCATCCGTTCTTGACACTGAGAAAGTCACGTTCATTCACGCTTACTCATCCGGCACATTCCTAATACGTGACTACACAATGTGAACACGTTTCACGTGGACCGCCTTAAAAGGAAAGTACTTCTTCGTTTTATAGTCTCTTTTTTCTCCCACCCTCACATTTTATTTATCACAAAAACAGTAAAAACTGTACGTGACGTATGGAGAGAAATACAATGTGAGTAACGCATATTTCAAGTACAGGAACACTACTTTTACACGTTTGTATAATATATTCTTCAGAATATTACAAGCAGTTACTTGAATTTCACGAAACTATTTTATTACGCGCGTGGTTAAAAAATACGAGGAAGGATGTGTATCGTAGTCATGCAGCCAATCAACGATTGCTTTACTCAAGTGGCATTGTTCCCATTCACTTTATTGTCTCGGCGGAAAAAGAATAGGTAGCATTCGTTTCAAATTCCAGAGCCCGTCGCACGCAGAAAGATGGAAGCCGTACAGAGAGAACTGCTTTCTCTAACTTCAGAAAGCGACATTTCTATTCATCCTGAATCATCGCTGACAAGCTTCAACACCAATGAAGAGGTAAATATTGATTTAATTCCATGTATTTTCGAGAAAATTGCATCCACAGCGAAATGGAAGAAGCTTATAGCTGGCTAATATATTTTATGACGCCGGTACTTTAATAATTATTAAGAGTGAATCTTACAATTCGCTAATTTTGTATTGTTTCCTAAACTTTCGGCACTGAATATAACATTAAATTGATATTTTTCTTTTCTCGCATACTGCATACGTAGTACAAAGAAAGTTATGTAATGTTGTAGCGAATAACGGCGATTTTCCAGAAAAAATTCGTATCGTAGTGTATTCATCGATGCAAAAAATTGGATAATTCTTGTTTCTTTATGTAGTAAATTACTTCCTCTGAGACTTGTGGAGTCGGAATCCACGTTTTGTGGGGCCTTGATTCCATGCAAGTGGAATATAGCGAAACGTCTATCTGTACGCTCGTCTGTCTGTCTGAACATCGCTTGCGGCTAAACATTAAAAAGGATTTTCCCCAATATTCATATTCCTCGATCGATTTAACTGATGTTGCTGCCCCTGGATATTTTAATTTTTGGAGGTCCCTTACAAGAAACCTCAAGGTCATTTCCAATTTTTTCTCAAAATCGTTTCACAATTTTTGGATTAATTTTTGTAACGGAGAAAAATACGCTGATAAAAAGAGCGAGTCCGATTTTCGTTGAAATCTCCGACTTTTCGAAAATTGCAAAAGTTTATTTTTTCGGCGTACAACCGCAACTACATTATTGAAGACCTAGATTATTTGTTTAATGAAATTTTGTCCTCGAAACAAGATCTTTAAATGAGGTCACGTACAATTTTTCCAACTATGAGTAGTTTTTGCATAATTTTGCGTGCGATAAAAGCAATTTTAATAACAATATATTCTCAGAAACGTCTCCAAATTTTTCCTTTAAACTTTATATAAGGATAGTGCTAAATACACTGAATAACATGCCTTTCAAGCTATTTTGATGTATTCTTTCGTATTTCAAAAATTACACAAAATGTTTTATCCTTCTATAATATTATTCAAAGCATATTTCAATTCTACTAGGAGACTGAAAAATTGAGAAAATGTGAAAAAAATGTCTTGATTGGCGCCGATTGATAGCAGCTGAAACGAGAGTGGGGATAGAGCGAAAACCTTGCCTAAAGTAAAGAGATTATAAAACTAATTAGTGCGAGAAATTCTGTTTCATTCTGTAGCACTATTCTAACTTAATACGATAAAAAATAATATTAGGAATAATGAGACAAGGAAGTTACTCTGAAAATGCTCCCTAGTTTATAATAAACGTTCAATATTTAGTTCAGGAAAGTGAAATAGTATTTTTTTACATAATTATCATTCATCAATATTTATTTGTGAAATTTCATTAGGTTAACAAGGCTTTCGGATTCTGTTTACATTCACGATTTACACCAACGATTTGTCATTTTAGGATAACAGTACTTCCACTGAAGAAATAAAAAACCAATGTTTATTTCAACAATCTAAACATTCAGAAAATGAAGATATCAGCGACGATGGCCGCAAAGTTGAGATCGAAAACACGAAAACAAAAGATACAACTGAAGGACACTCGAAAGAAGATATGTATTACCAAATTCCAAAGGAAGTAAAAATTCTTCCATCACAGGTAGATCCTTTGGCATTTGGAGACGTTTGGGCGGTTGATCAATCCACTGATGAACAAGATCTGAATGAATCTTTTGGGCCAGACTGTTTTCAAATGATAACATACAGAGTACCAAAATTTCCTATCATTTTTTGTGTTGTAATTATAATATCAACTGTACTTTTCATTTCAATAGCTTTGTTCAGGAAGGGGCGTAGTGGTCGTTAAAAGGATTTTAATTTCCATGCTTTTGCTCATTGTTAGCTAATTGTTTCAAGGAGCTCGGAAGAGCAATTGGCTTTGTAATAATGTTATTTAAATATCGTCTTTCTGTTAAAATAATCTGGATCTTGTATAAGACCAATTTCAGAAAGTAATTTTTATGTTTAGGCTATGTACGTCTGTTCATTTGTGTAAGTTTTCGTACATATTTCTTAAGAACTTGTTCAAATTCTCTCGATAATGTTTATTATTTTATCATTTTCTGACTACTTTATGTGTTAATTCTTTTGTCAAAGCTGTATTAAAAAATTGTTAATAAAATGATATATACCTGTTGAAATTCTAGTATCAATGATTTATTCACATTGTTTCGAATACGACAGTTTTAATTGTGGTAATTAAGCTTTCACTGAGAAGAAACAACCGTTTAAGAATAATTAACAATGAAGTGCTCTCTCCAGTATTATCATGTTCTTCCCTTAATACCGAATATTTTTGATTCAGCGAAGGAGATTAGTAACTAGACAGACATGAATTAATCTAAATATTTGAGAGCCAGAATTTTTTCCAAACAAAAAAAAGTGTAAAATGAATGCAAATATGAATTTTGATCATATTTTATACCGTTAATTTACATCAAACAAAGCTAGGATATAAATAAGAAACAACGATTTTCATTAAAACTGAATGAAATTTTTCTCAAATGTTACTTAATAGAATAATATGTCAGAAATATATTTGAACTGTTTGAGTTAGCTATTTGAACACTGTTGAGATGACCTAGTGTGCGAGTCCCGACGGAAATGGATTTTTGGCCCTAGATATATACTCAGATCGAATTCAGGCGCTGTCGGGAGACGAATTACAACGGCCAACTGTTCAGATCGATAATCTTTCGTGGTTTCTTCGATAAATACCAGGAGAATGCCGAAGAAGTACCCTATCAAACGGGCCACGCACCCGACGCGATCTTGCATCTTCCTTGCCCTATCTCTCCTTACAATTACAAATACAGTAAACCCTCATTAAAACGAATTTCAAGGGACCAAAATAATCGCAGTTCGAGTTATAAAACTTAGTGTAATCCGATTACTATAAATGACCGCATTGCAGTAATTCCTTGCCGAGACCCACGTTTTGTTCGTGTTACGGCCAAATTCTTGTTAAGGGAGTTCGTGCTAATGAGGGTTTACTGTACATATTCTTAACTGCCAGAGTCGGGAGCTTAGAACTTCTCCTGGCTGCAGTAGTGCCCCGCTGGGCGAGATGCCTTTAGAGGGAAATACCTCTCAAGCCGACGTGTAGGTCGACGTCAGATCGCATCAGCCAACAGAAGAGGAGCATTACCACCTCCCAGAATAATACATTAACGGAGCTAATGGCCACAGCAGGTGACGTGCCCGGAAACCTCAATCAATTAAACTCATTTTAGAAACATTGCACACAAGAAAAGAGCAAGGTGGATAACTGACATCAACGGAAATATATCAAACTCATAAAAGATGACAGCCACTGAACAAGAAGAAAAATGTATACACTGCAATCAGGATAGTTCAAATAAATTATTTTCTGATTTCATTGATACTGCATGTACGGATTTTATAATGAAATGAAGTTAAAAATCGTTAATATTGTATCAACTCATGAGCAGTAGCGCATTGGCACATTCTACCCGAATATCAATGCCAAGTAGTGTGATGTCATAATCTGGGAGTGCCAGAGAGCTACCCGCCTCAGTACCGTCCTACGTCATCTTTAGCTGCATGTTGAGATTTGACATTTATATTTAGCAGTGGCGGTTTCGCAATTTAAACTCGTGCGCAGCACATCTCCACGCATTACGCCCTGAGGAAGGTCGCAGAATGGGGACCGAAACGTCGTCACCTTCGCCATGGACGCGGCGTCACCCGGACACCTACGCTCTCACGTGACTACACCTCCACAGTACGCTCCATGAGTTGTAGAAATGGACTATATGGAAGGCTGGGGCACCTTTAAACATTTTTCATGTTTTCTTATATAATCTTACAACCAAAATACACATTTATGGTACTTGTGACAATGCGTAAAATAGTTGTTGTGAACATACATTAGTACTGATTTTTTTTCACGCCGCAAATAAAAGTATGTGATCCGATAACATTTCTTTTAGAAAAAAATAGTTGTCATGACGTCTGCCCCAAGACGTCTGCACCAACCCTCGTATATGCTGCTGTAGCTTCTCTAGTTTGATATGGCCCCAAGGTTTCTGATATCACTACATTTTCTATATCATTATCTTCGTTCTCGAGTTCCCTCAACGACACATTAAAACGACGCTTTCAAATAGTTTCGGTCTCCCTTGGATCAGAAATGCCCGAATGCTTGTTGTCATAAAATTCAATCTTGAAAATGGCCTAATCCCTCGTTTTGCAAACGCTGAAAAAATGTTCTTTGTCGTAGAAGACGGTAAATATGCGGTGTCAGTCAGAGCTGGAAGATGAATTTATAACGCTTTCCAGGTTTCATGATCATCGAATCGCTTTCCACAAATCTCAGCTTTCCCTTTTAAGTGCGTATCAAATTTGCGTCTAGGGGTTGCATGCGGTGTGTGCAGTGAGGCGGATACTTCACTAGAACTATTCCTATTTTCTAAAGCAAAATTAATTTATTCAATACTACCATGACTTATATGGTTGTCCATTAACAAATTTATTTTGTTTTCTTTACTATTTTGTGAATGCTTTTGTACATGTTCAAGGGCCTTGATAAACAACTGCGACGTCAACCATGAACTACTTGGACTGTTGGCTGGACCTAAGCTACCAAAGGGGGCTCCAAACATCCAAGTACCATGCATTCTGGTTCTGAAGAAAGGAAAGATCGACAGAATGGAGTTGCCAATTGCATTGACAATCATGAACATTGTAATTTTACTTCCTCATTCTGTAGAAACGTCTTTTCCAACGTAGCATTCATCACGTCCATTGAAGGACCTGAGCTGCCATTGAAACACATTTTGCCATTGAAACACAATCACATTTTTCTCTTGAAATCGCTTTACTTTACGTCACTAGTTGTTTTTTTCAGTCTTGCGTGAAGCTAGCTTTGGATGGCGCTTCATTAATCACTGCATCCTATCTGCACCGGTGCGTTTGTTTTACACTTTGAATGCCATCATTATATGGCAGGGTTTATCCAAGCACCAAACATTGATACAGTATTCTATAAACAATACAAGTTACTTAAAGTGAATCGAAAATGTTGGTGGGCAAAATATAGCAAACTGTAAGCCATACTTCAGATTGTTTCTTGTTTCATCAAGTGGGGATTAGAACTAATGTCACTACAGTCACTTCATGTCACAAAATATAGTTTCTAGTATTTCGAAATGTGTTGACTCCACCAGCAACTTTATGACTGCTCAGATAAGACTTAGCTGAGGCTTCCGGTGGCCTCATGGCACTCAATGTGATAAACTCGAGGAATCTTGAGAGATTCAGCCTAACCGTCACGCAAAGTAGATAGCTAATTCCAAATTTTGTTTGAACCTTTATTCCTAGTTGAATTGGAACACCAAATAATGTAATTTTCCGTTTAATCTTTGCTTTCAGTTGCAAAACTTTACCGCGTCACTCAGCGCTACCCATGAAGAGCGAATGGTTCATTGCCACCTCTGGATTGTAGCAGATGATAACACTATGCTGTAAGTCATTATATGACCTAAAACTGCTGATAGCAAAGAGAATACCTCATGTTAGACACAAAAAAACAGCCGTCAGCCGTGAGACGAGATAAATAAAATTGAATTTGTATCTAAAACATGCAAAACAAAAGGTACATTTCCCCTTAGAGTTCTGATAAGACGAAACTCTAAACATATGAGGTGTACCCACAGTTCGTTTCTAACACATTGTACCAAACCCACATTCACTAATGATAAAATTTAATGATTTAATTCACAGGTTACAAAAGTATTTACTATTTTTGCTTTCTTATTTAATAAGATCCGATATACTGCCCTGCATTAATCTTCATACGAGGGTTGCCTTTTACATTTCAGGATTAGAGAACAAAAACAAATATTAATCATCGAAAATCACTTTATTGTTTTTTCAAAATACTCCCTATGAAAATCTATACACTTTGAACGCGGGTTGAACCAATTGTTTCGAAGCACTTTTTGCCACTCTGATTGAGGTATCTCCAAAAACATGCATTCTGATGCAGCAAACCGCTTCGTTCAGGAGTCTAAAAAACGCTGACCCTCTCAGTTTGTTTTTTACGTACGGGGAATAAAAAGAAGTCATTCAGTCCGAAGTCAGGACTAACGGCGGATGGACTCATCAAATCGATATTGTGGGGACAAAAATGCAGGTGTTGATCGATTGTGAGAGCTCGCATTTCCGTGGTGAGAGTGATCCCGTCTTTGGCGGTTAGGTTTTCCTTGATTCTTGGAAGACGGCTGGCAAACAAATCGTTGGTGTACCACTCAGATTTGACTGTTCTGCGTTTGTTCTAGTGGTACGGTTGCGACACGTCCAGGTTTTTTCGAAAAAAACAGGCGACAATCTGTTTGGAAGTGCTTCATGCGCCGAACAACAATTGTTGGATTTGCTCATGTTGAAACACTCATACAGTCACTGCTGTTTACTTTCAGGCTCTTGCGCGGTAAAATCCAACAATTCATCACCTGCTCACGATTTCATAGACGGTTGTCGAAGCACCGCGAAGCGTATTTTTTTGAGCACTTCTTTAACCAATCGACACGAGACTTGTTTTGAAGCGATTGACCAAATTGGTGTGGGATCCAACGCGAGAACAATTTTTTTGACAGTCAAATTTCATGCAATAGTGAATGTATTCTGGTCCCACTTAATCCTAAGGTGTCTACAAATCTAACGATGGTCACATGACGATCTGGCAATATCAATTCCACGCACCTAGTATCAATGGTTGTTCGGAACAACTTGATTTTGGACGACCTTCGCGAATTCCGTCGTCTTGAGTGAACTACGACCACGATTGAATCACCATTACCATCCGATAAAACACTCGTCCCTGGACGGAGCTTCATTGTTGCCAAAAATTAAATTAGAGTTCATCCATGCACTGTTGCTGAGTTAATCCACGTCTAAAGGTTAAAAAAATAATCGCACAAAAATGTTCCACGATTTAATTCCATTTTTGGGCGAAGATGAACCTTTTAAGTTACTGTAAACAACACAGAATAGCGCTCGTATGTCAAAACGTTCTGAGTACGTACAACCTCAAAACATCCAACTTTACGATAGAGCAGTCAGCTGCCAGATTGCAACACCAGGGTTGCCAAATCCCGAAACAT